GTATATGTATAAGCCGATCCTGCCTAAATACAATTAATTTAAAAAAAAGTAAGAGGCAGATCAGTGGTACTGCAAAGCTAAGATAGTCTAAGAATACTTCGTATGAATAAAAGTTTTATTTTCAGATTAATAACAAAATTTTTTGCCAAAATGATAAAACCGAATGAGTACAATTAAGGATAGCAACGATTTTCAGGACTAAAGGCTTCATACATACGCATTATAGGATGAATAATAGGGAATTTAAAGAGATAGCTGAGGCATGTTGGAATGGATAATAGCTAAGTAGGTCATGAGATAATGAGCCTAACTACATAGTTTAGTTCAGCATGAGATTTGTGAAAAATTAAAATAAGAACAAAATTGGAAGCCTTCAAAATACTGTATATATCAGACCTATTGTACTTGGTGAACTTAAAAAAGATCCGAAGGAATTTAAAATACTAATTAGCTAAGCGCCTTGTACCAAATACAGAAACGCTTTTGAAGCATTAAATATAGCAAATAGAAGCTAGAATTCGGAGAATAAATATTCTTTACTTTATTCAAACATATTGTGTAAGTTAGCTCTTAAAATATTATGAATAAATGCATTAGAATCATGTATCTCAGGAATGCACGTAAAATCTGTCAGTCAAAATAAATGCCTACTTTTGGTATTCTAGAGGCGAGTTCAGCGTAACAAAGAGCGTTTAAAAATGCAGTTATTCCAGCTAATAAATATGAAATAAACGTCGAGGGTCCAGACTTGTCACGGATGACGGTCCCTGTTAGAACATAGATCCCCGAACCGGCCATATTTCCTATATTAATAGATAAAAAGTAGGTTTAGTGAAGCATACCTATTCCAAGAAGTGTTAAATCAAAAACTGTTAGACACCTTTTCAGAGGCGTTTCCATAGTATTTTTATCCAGCGGTTTGGCTCTACGCATGGCTAGCCATAACCGCCTAGAAGTCTCTCGCATCTTTCCGAACGGCACCATTGTAAATATAACGTCTCAGAGGCACAGAGGGGTGCGCAGAAAATGTAATGTAGGGGACGAAAAGAGGGATGGAGGGAACATCTGCATAGTAGTAAATTAGATGCACATTAAAGACCTTTGGAACAAGTTTGTCTATTCTTTTAAAAATATAGCCTAAATTAAATTATCAATTAGACAATAACAAATTGTTTGAAACGTTACGTTTTTGGGCACACCTTCAACTCTGGCCTGAGATATGCCTCAATACTCTATATTTCGCGAGCTTTTTAGACTTTCTCATAATGATAAAAGTCATTTAGATGATGTTTCTACCAAAAACATTGGTGAAAATGTTTATGTAAATGTTTATGATTTGGTAATACCTTCGTTACTTAATAATGTAGCATTGGTCAAATGAGTATATAGGAAACCTTGGGATGGGCGTTTTTCATACAGGAACTGAAGTGTATGGAAAAGGTAAGTAAAATATCCATATTAATATTTTCCAGAATATGGCTTTGGCGGCCATCCGTATGACTCAAGTGGAATATTTTTTAGTTCTCCAAAGAGTGCCATTGAAGCTGGTGACCAGATTTCATTTAGGTAGGCTATTACTGGCTAAGTAGGTATTATTTTTAGGTGTACATTATCTGTTGGTAAAACTTTCCTTTCGGAAAAGAGCGTAGATCGCTTGATTGCTAGCTTGGGTGATGAATTCACTGGATCAACATATCATCTACTATACAGAAATTGCAACCATTTTACTGATGAAGTAATAAAGGTAATACGAGTTTGTAATTCATACTGTATACTGTGAAGTTCTGTTATTTTGTGTGTTTATATATGTAGTGATTATTAAATTGACCCTTGAAAAAATGTGCTATCTGTGTGTATCAATTTTGCAATTATATCTACCTGCTCATTAATCTAATTTTTACCAAACCATGGTCAGTCATATTTTCGGATATATTTATAATCTCTTTTACATGGGAATTTATTGCAATGTGTATTTTGTCGTTATTTGTATCAAATGTGTAAAGTTTCATCAAAGTTTTAAAATTTATGATTTTATAAAATTTTAAATCACATTTGATACGATAAGATATTTTTCTATTTATTTAAAGTGAATTATAATCTATATTTAATATGGACATTCAGGCGCAAGGTATTTTTATGTTGGTTATACCGAAACATGGCAATTGCTTAGCAATTTCTGCTGTCTTATGGTAGTTCATCCTCGTTTTCGGCGTACTGACACCCTAAGCATCATCAACTTTCTGACCAGTATTTATTAAGGTTGACCCGGCTGTCCATATATATTTTTATTTGATTGATTAACTGTGCGATAAAACCTGTCTACTAACTAAATCACTTTAAATTGCTTCAAATAACAAGTTTATAGAATGAAAGCTGGGTGCTTTTTATAAGAGGTTCATTAGTGAGTATGAAGCCGATAATTATCTTCCATCACCGACCTATTTAGTAAGTATCCGCTAAATATGTGTATTGGAAATCCTCACATGGTTGCATTATGCCCAAGTAATCCGATCTTATAGAATTTAAGACTGATGCCATTAATTATTTAACGATAGTCCTTACCTAGAAATCATAAATCATTTTACTGTTGGTTCGACCTCGTTTTTGCAACCAGGTCGGAGCGTCAGGGAGACCTAGTAAAACGTACCTAGTCATGTGCCCTCTGCCATAGTATTCGTGATTTCTAGCATCGGACCTTCGACTTGGTATATTCCCAAACGTTTCGCCAGCATCGTCAGTGGGAGGCGTCATCGTTAGTACAGAATTACAACTTATCACAGTGACGAGTGAAGGCAATCCCTTTGACCAATTTTCTATTTATTAGTTGTGGCATCACTCCTCGTTCCCGTTTGATGTCTTAAGATTGCCATTTAGTGCACGGATTACAGCAGATCAAAGAATACAATCGTATTTTAATATTTTTATTTTACTATTATGATTGTTGTAAACGATTTTGTAATTTGGTGAGAAAATATTATTCAGATAAGGTGAATAATGTATTATATCAAGCTTCATTGCAAAGAATATAGGAGACATGATAAGGAGAGGGGAAAATTATTTACGTTTTTAAATATGAAGTCTAAACTCGTACAGTCGGATTCTCATCACTGCATATTTCGTGAAACTACAGAAGATGACAGACAAATGGTCGAAAAGAATATCGGACTTAACCAAAAAAGGCATCAGAAGAAGCTGAATAAATATTGGATCTATATGCTGCCCAAAGTCTAACCACTCGAAAAAGCGAAGAGGACTTTAGAATGATGGATCTAATAGTTCTGACAAGAAGTGAAGATGAAGTAGTAAATCTGTCTTCTGTTCTAATTAACTTGAAGCCACAACGATCCTCAAGGAACCAAATTTTGCACTTCTGAATAAAAGTAGAGCAATCAAAGACGTGTGTAGGTGATAAATACCTCTGAGAATCATAACGATAGCTGGAAATGAAAATAATCTTGGCGCATCAATAACTCGCGGATAGAGACAATAAAACAAGATATATAGATAATTGAGAAGAAATAATCTAATAGTTCTACAATCTAACAAAAATGTCTCAGTGGTGATGGACAGGAAGGAATATGCAGAGAAAATGGAAAATATTATCGGAGACATTACAACTTATTGACTGCTGGCAAAAGACTCAACGGTTCAAATCAGATGGGCATTCCAAGAAATGAATAGAAACGGGGAAATTGACAAATGAATAGTGAATTCGCTCCTACGAAAAGATGCAATAACCCCAATCGCATATGGTTTGCTGAAAGTACGCAAAGGTGAGCCATTAAAACTATTAATCTATAATAAATACGGATCGATACATAAACTGGCGAAATTTGCTCCTTCAAATTAATGAAAGTGAATGACAGATTATCGAATAGAGTGAAAACATCATACGAATTATGCCGAAGGCTCAAAGGCACCAGTTTGAAAGGAAACGAAATTTTGGCGAGCTTTGATGTGCAGTCCATGTATACCAACATCTCACGAAAAAAAGAATTCACAGCGCTACTGGAGATCCTGTAAAAAGAGGATGATATCCTGGAGATGGAACAAATCCGAAACGAGTCTCTAACCCGATTGATCAACATACCTATTTTACATTGTTTCTTTGACCTTATTTTCA